GGGAGTATACGATCATGTAGTACGCCTGACATGACCTTCAACTTTCTTACCATGCTACAACAAGCGACATTCATGTTCCAATTAAACAGTGTTAGGTATATCTCTGCAATACTGCTATATATTGCATTATATAGTTTATAAGAAAATACATAAATGTATTCCCTCCCAGCACCGTGAATTCTGACATGCGACCTCTTACTTTCATCGTTGTTTACACATACAATGTAATCGTACACCTGAGCATCAATTTATGAGCTGATTAAGAAATTGCATGAAGACTGTCAGACTTTCGGTTTGACGGCCCGTACGATTGTATATCCGCAAAACTACCTTCTAGAACTTCTTTACATGCACAAATTAAAAATTGCATTTCTGCGAATCTGTGCTGTTGCTCTTTATTCAAATAATTTATAGAAACTTGCAACGATTGTTATTTTAACGTCACCGGTTTTGCTACTATGGCAACGTTAGTTTGGTTCCTTGCCAGAGCTGTTGTTAACAAAGGGTAAATAATTTTGTTCATGTTCAGGGATAAAGCAACGATTTGGAGAACTTACATCATCATCATCATCATTCATTCATTCATTCAATATTTCATTCACTCATTCAGTTCTCATTTATTTGTTCGTTCCATTCATTTCATCTTTTTCTCGTTGCCTCTTTCTTAGATTACTTCACTCAGCATTTCATTGTTTGATTCATTCGTTCATTCATTCTTTCTTACCAACGTAGCACCAATGGAACAAACGTTTTTTAGTCATCGTGCAGAACTTTTCGGGAGTTCTACAGGGGGGGGTCGAGAACCAAAGAACCGGCGACAGTAAGAAAGCAAGCTTCAAGCACCCGTCGTTTGATAAGTTCTAACAGTATTACCTGTTTTTAAATGCCAAAGCTTCAGCATCCAAAACCGAAGTTCGAAGCTTAAGCTAGAGGCTAATGAAAAGTGTGGTTCAGGAAATTTTACATCTGATATTCTCGTCGACTGTCGCTTCACAACGTCAAATCCAACTCTTTCTCACCTGTAATCGTGCAGAACCTCACTAATGCTGTCGGCAATCGATTGGGCGGTGAGTGACATCTTGTCGAGGACCAGCGCCAAGCCCAGACGGGCCGCTCGTTGCGAATTCGTATGCTGGTCACCGAACAGTGGAATGAGCAGCATCGGTACTCCGCTGAGCACGGTTTCCAGTAAACTGTTGTAACCACCGTGCATTATGCAAAGTTTCAACTTGGGATGACCTGAAAACTAGCGGTAATGATGGTCTGCTCGAGGGGTTGTCACGTGATCAGTTGTACTCACGCAGGATCGCACGCTGAGGTAACCAGCGGAACACTTTGATATTCGACACGCTTCTCATCTCTTCAGGAAGCTGGTCGTCCATCTTCCAGATGACAGTGTAGTTAGGAAAACGACGAAATGCGTCAGCGAATTTCACCTAGGTGAATTCGTACTGAAACCTGCTGTAAAATGGGTAGCACACAAACAAGTTGAACAAGTGAAGGAACTGTTCTGGAAACCGTATTCAGGGGTAGTCAGACTCGAAGAATTACTACAGAATCAATGAATTACTCTTGCGGTAAAGTTTGACTTTGCAAGTGTTCCTCAAATACTGAATGAAGTGATAACTATAAACGCGAGTACGATCATGAGGATGAACAACACGTATCTTGATGAAATAGTGCCGTGAGATTTCGCTCTGGAAAATGAGGCAAAGAAAACCTACATGACGTTAGGATTGCTTATATTAGAGAAATGGAAACCGAGTTGCACGCTGTTAATGTCCAAGCCAGGGTGCAATAGCTAGAAATGCATAACTGAGTGGCAAGACATGCAGGACTTGCTAAAAAAACATATTCCCATGGACCGGAAATGACCGCACTACGAGGAAAACGTGATGGGGGTAAACGCGGTTTGGTTCCAGCGTTCGAAGACCATAAGCGAATGGACCAGTCCGTCGATGATGTGATATCCTGTGAAACTGTGCATATTAATTTTGCTATGCCATAGTTTACAGAATAATTCGCCATTGAAAATTAAGTTGTATGATGGGGCAACTTTGCGTCTAATGTTACTTGCAGGCAAATGTGCAAGCCTCCAAGGAATGGACCCTCACCGCAGCGCTCCTGCTCAGCAGACTGCTACAAGTGCATTCGTTACCTCAGCAAATGACTGGCTTACTGAGAGAAATCCCCACAATAGGTAATTGATCGCAATCGAGGTTAAGCCTTGTAGTGAAGCTTAAGTTGGATCATTTTCTAAACTGCGTAAAATGGGATGAATGAGTCAGTTTCTGAGCAGTTCGCGTAACAGAACCGACCACGTTTGATCTCCGTAAAACATATTACCCTCTAACACAAAATCAATCACCAAGACATCCTCAAACCGAGCATATCATTGATATGATCGATTGCAGTTACGGATATAAAATTTAAAGTGCGTTAGTCCAGGAAGAGCAAATCTACTGATGCATTGACTTGCAATGCTCTTGAAGACTGCCGTGATTCTTGTTGATGGGCAGCAAAGAGCCAATAGTGAACTCTGCAATAATCCGAGGCAAACAGTCGTATATAAGAAGTAAAGATGAAATACGTTCAGAAACAAAAGTTAAGTCATGAAGACATTGTGACAAATCATTAGTGCTTATTGAAAGTGAGACTAGAAAGGAGAACTTTTAGCATGAAACTAGACGAAGGCTCCCGTGGACCAGAGAACCAATATGTTTATCAACAAATTGCCGAATTGCATATCATTGCAGGAGCGAGGATGTCATGGAAATGCGGGAAAGTGCTCGTCGGAGTTCATTATAGCATTTGTCACCTGAACAGAGGAGGCATGACTTCATTGAGTCACTGAACTACTGCTTGCAGTTCTACGTACCTTCATTCCGTGCGGCATGTAGGTGGTATTCACGACCGATCCGAAAGAAAACAAGATGACTCCGTCCACTGCGTTGTCCATTAAGCTTTGGAATTCCTAGAAACAACGGTCATCAGTAGTGAGCCGGCCGGCGATTTGCGTCGTATTTGTCGGCAAACCGACGTCTGACTGCAGGCAGCGGTGACATTGGCCCGCTTTCTTCCTCAAAGCAGCGGGTCGCTTTCGCCTCAATATGAGTTTGCCAATTAGCACTGTGAATTTTTCTCTAAGGATCGGACTTGTTAAGCTCGAACTTCGCCATCTATGCCCTGCGGGATCTCACTGAGGCCTGTGCGGACTGCTTATTTGTCGCATCTAACCTTCATATCTGGAGGTTGTTCCTCTATTCGCAAATCAGAAACATGCCAGATTACCACCAACTAGGCATAATGGAACATCACTGACAATACAAAAATGGCAGTGTGCGGTCGAATACTCTCTTGGTGAGTGGGACAGGGGGCAGTGGCGCAAAAAGTCAGTATATAGCGTTGCACTTTAGGGGTGTCAGGCTCAGATTCAAAGTGCAGAGTAAAATTTTTTCTTAGTAACTGCTAAATCCTTTGAACAGTAATTCAACCCACTGTGCTTCAGTGTGACCAATCAGGAAACAATGGTAAGGAAATGACCGTTCATAGGTCGGAACAACGGTAGCGCTGCGGTATGCTTAGACTAAGGTTTACAAGAGAAACAACCATACTACATGGTGACAGTGCTTTGCAATTAATATTCACCCGGAGAACAGATATTCGAGAGAACCCTGGTGTTCAGCCGCTGCTTCTCCAGATTAAAAAATCATGGATGCGATGGTTTGGGAAAGGAAGGCGAAGCAGCTACCACTTGTTCAAACCACCAGACCTCTGTGACGGTCAAGTA